AAACAGATTATAATATTTATGTTGTGGTACTTTCAAATAAAATTTTTATCACAAAATTTCATCCTTAGAAATAATAATTTATATATTTTATGTTGACATAAAAATAAATTCTTTCTCTTTTTACATGATTATGTATAGGGTCTTACTAAGGAACAAATAGATATTGGCATTAATGATGATGTTTTAACAATCAAGGGCGAAACTAAACAAAGCCAAGAGCATAAAGAGGGTACAACTCATATCCAAGAACGCCGTTGGGGTAAATTTGAGCGTTCGCTTTCACTTCCCAATAATGTGAAAACTGAGGATATTGATGCTAAATTTGAAGATGGCGTTCTTGAATTAAAACTTCCAAAAATTGAACCTATCGGCAAAAAGATTAGCATTCAATAATTAATAATTGTAACAAGTTGATGTTTTTAAAAATCATAATTAAATTTTATTTTATTTAATAATTTTATTGTATTATAATAATTTTTATTTCTATAATCTTTCTTGAATAATTTTTTATTCGTGTATTTGATTTCATGTAATTAAAAAAAAATAAATTTCTTATTAAAATTGCATAAATATCTGTTGTAATGTTTTGGAATTAAGTATCTTACAAATATTGTTTGAATATGATATGCCATTATTTTAGGGGGATTATTTTCATAAAATTATTTATTAATGGTAAATTTTATCTCAAACTTTCATATATTACAATATATATCTCTCACAAATTATCAGATTTTAAAAATTTTTATGAGATAATAATGATTTAATAATACATTTTTCAACCATCCAAAAACTAATTTATAATATAGTAATAATAAAATAGTATTAAATATATTAAGTTTAAAAATAAATATGGATATTAAAATATATTAATGTTGTTATACTCGATGATAATAATAATAACAGATCATTTAATGAAAAAATATCATTACATATTTATATATATTTATATATATATATATATTATTTTTTATTTATTAATTTGAAATAATAAAAATAATAATAATTTTTTTATTTATTAATTTGAAATAATAAAGGATTATGAATTGGTTCACCTAATATTGAGATAAAAGGAATTGGTGGAATATCAGGAGTATGTATCATAATTGTGGCCATATGAGCTACATTGGATAAATTT